TTATATCTTTCGTATATTGAAAGCTATGACTTTCAATATACGGCGCAACATTGATAACACAGATCAATATTGTTCATTTTTGAAAGTAGAACTATTAAATTAAAAAAATAATTTCTTTGAGAACTAAACGTCAAAACAAAAAAAAACTGATTTAAATTTATTTAGAAATGATTTTTTTATTCTAAGAACTCTTTGTGCTGAATAAAGAAACGATTTTTCTTATATTGTACTTACTCTTAAATAAAGTCCAGATTTTGCAGGAAGAGATTGCTCTATTTCATATAGCTGAGCTTTCCTCTTTAATGTATTTTTTTGAAGTTCGGAAACTTTTTCTTTTTCTTCAGGTTTTTTGAATCTTAAGAAAGCCAGTCAAAAGAAAATTATTTATTATAATTATTTTAAAATGTACACAATAAATTCATATATTAAAAAGCATATCCATACATTATATAAGACTTTTGTTTTATGGTAAATACCATGCGCTTTTTAATAATGTTTTTGGGTTTCTGATTAAATTGATTTACTTGCTTATTGAGTTATTTTATAATCCTAAAATCAAAAATATACGATTATAATTAATAAGTTAAACTTAATTTTGTAACTTAATTCTATTATTTTTTTTTTTAAATTTGTTATCCAAAATATTTTATTCTTTTATTTGTGACCAAAAATATAATATAATAATTTATTAGCGGGGTAATTGATAATTTAAATAGAAATAAAAATACTATAATTTATTTTTATATTTTAAAACAGATTAAATTTTATTAAAATATTTTTCTGATATTTCGACTATCTTCGATAGTCATCTCTTTTTAAATATAAATAATAAATTATAGTTAGCGGGCTACTAATAAATTATTATATAAATTTATTATCAAAATATCATATACCATACTAATTATTCTTATTGTGATCTTATTTTATAAGAATAATCAGACTTATTAAAATAAGGTTCTACTGTGTGTCGTTTTCCATTTAGTTTTGTACTATTTCTAATAGAGAATATCAACAGAAAAAGGATAATTTAAATTACTAAATAAAAATACAGTTCCACATACATTAAATAACATTCATCATTACTGGACTTATCTAGAGAAAAACAAAATAGTAGAAATAGAATTGTCTCTCAAATTATAAATCAAATATATGTACGTATTTTTAAATAGATTAGATTGAACAGATACTGTAGAAAACGATACAATGTACACATCCTTTCTATTTTTAAATATTCTTAATCGCATTGATTTTAAATCTTAATCTCATTGACTCTAAGTACAGATAAAGAAAAACACTTAAAAGAGTTTTAAAATATCGATTTAGTTTTAACCATAATTTTAAAATATATGGTTTTACAAACATATTTATATCTGTTGAAGAATAATTTGGATGTATTACGTATAATCGGCATATACATATATATATATATACATATATATATATTTGTAAAGTAAATTAATTCAAATTCATATGCAAAAGTTCATATGAAGAACACTTATTCCTGAAATTATTAAGCAAATGTACAAAAGTTAAAGTACATTTTTAACGTAAATATTTTTTGATAAGGAAAACGCAAAGAGTTAAATTACCTTAAAAATTATATAGATATTTCATTTAGTTTTTGTAAATTGATAAAAAAAACAACTGATTAGCAGTGGTAATGACAGCAACAATTTATGTATAGGTTCGGTATCTATGCTGACCAGAAATAAACAATTTATCAACGAGTGTTAACAATTTTATCCATTAGATTGCAGTTTTTTATTGAATTTGAACTTTTGTACTTTGTAATAAAAAAGGTATGAAATAAAGCGAATTACAAAATAAGAAATTAAAGAAAATAAAAGTCCAAATTTGAAAATCAACACTACTTACTGTTTCAAAGATGCATTTATTTGGTTTATTCGATAACGTTGATGTTTAATTTCATTAAAGCATTTCTGTTGATGACTATATAATTGTTCCAATAACTCAATATATTTACGATTGCAGTTCTGAAAATAAGAAGTATAGATTATGAATAGATTATATGAATATGTTTTACTAATCACTCTCACTAGTGAAAAATGTTTAATACAAATTTATTATTTGTGCTTTATTAGAAAAATAGTTAAAATAAATATCGTAATTTTACACTTCCGTATTTTACTATAGCTGTTGTATTACCTCAAGCTCCACGAACTCCTTGCCAAGCTCGTCCCACTCATTGCTGAGTGCGTCAATACTCATTCTACTTTTAATTACTTTATTAAAAACGAAAGCAATTAATTATGAATATTTAAAAATGGTATAATTTGTTTAAAGCAATTTGTATTTTATATACGCGTTTATTGAAAATGAAAAATCAATTTTTACACAAAACGAACCTTACGCGCTACGCACAAAATTTGGAAGTAGGTATAACTATATTTTTTTGATGTTCACTTGTTGCTTAATTGATGGCGATTAGTTTTACCATTTTATAGAACGAATAGCGTAACAACAATATGATTAAAGTTTTAAAAAAGCTTTAAAATTTTCCCTTGTTTGCTGACACTGCCACGTTTTTATCAAATAATTTTATAAGACAACTTTGACTTCATAACAACAGTGTGTTGTTTAAATTACCCAGATGATATCAAATATCATAATAGTGTTAAATCGGTGTTAGATTTCTTTCTACTACATTATACTAATTCTTAAAGAATTTCATTAACGTCACAAACACAACGCGCGTTTCATTTGTTTTTTATATACAATACAATTTGTCAAACTCCTCTTCTTTTGAAATTCACAATTCACAATAGAGCCTGTGATTATAAAATAATTTAACATTTATACATATATATATGTTATTTTCTAAATACTATTATTGCGGATATGTACATCATATTAACATTTCAGTTTCCGAATTAATTGAAAAAATTATAGATACGTTTTGTGAAGGAAGATGAATATTTATGATTAGATAATATTAGCCGTTATTTTTTCTTTCAGAAAAGCAAAAAAATACTCACAAGTGAAGCAACAACAATGCTCTTAAAATCTACAGACTTAGGTTTTAGTGGTAAAAAAATTTTGCGTCTTAAGTTTTAGTGCAGCCAAATTCAAAAGAGAGTATATTGTGAGTGTTCATTGGAAATATGTTGCAAATTTTCATCCATCCGTTAAAATCATGTGAGCATTTCATTTACTAATAAACTCATATACATAAATAAATTAAATAAAAAATATAAGCTAGAAATGCTAACCATTGCGGTTCTAATATTTATTTTGCTTTCTTTTAATTAAATTAATAAATTTTTAGTGTTTACAATTTTATATTTCATATTGTACACAACACAATAAAAATCATAAATATGACAAAAACAAGTATTTCGAATATTCTGAAATTGATGGCAATTTGTTTCAACCAGACTTAAATTTGTTTTTTACAACTCTGAAAGAAAATATTATGGCTATAATTTGACCATAGTATAAGTACATAATTGTAAATTATATTTTAACTTTGGTTATTTAATTTTTGTTTCTTTTATATGTATTAAGAAATAATCACAATATGGCTACACGAGAGTAATATTTAGAATTATGACTTGATTTCGTATAAATTATAATTTAATTGCAATTTTGTTAGGTAAATTTTTATATGGAATCGGATAGCAATTTCAACTTGATTTTACTGCAAAGTGAATCGAACAAGCTGAATGAACAATATTACTTTCAGTATTAGAATTACTTATGATGTGTGAATAGACTATATGATATCAATTGAGGGAAGACTGAAATATAATCAACTACAAAAAACAAAACAATTTACTTTACAATGTTTTTTAGTTATAAGTTAACCGTACAGAAAAATATTCCAAGCAAAGATCCTTATTAACTTTACATAAGAATAGGGCTGTTGTATATACCAAATACCAAATATATAGATATTAAAAGTTCCACAAAACTTGGCATTCTGCCTTTCATTCAAAAAGTTGAAAAAAGATGTCTTTCTTTCATTTATCATGAGTAATACCAATAAAAATTTACAAGAGTCACAGTACCATTTTCTACTGACAGTACTTGTAATAGTTTATATGTTAAGATAATCTATTCTTATATGTACTACTGCTAAATAATAAATTCATGTAAATAATTATTTTTTATGGAAAATTAAATATTTCACCTATCTAATACTAACACCGATCAGCAACAACCATCCTTCACGACAACCATAAAAATAGAACCCAACAAGTGAGGACGATTAGCCACAATAGCCATCATATATAACGATGGGCAATACTAACGGTCAGTAATAATAACTTGGTCACTACTATTTAATCGCTTTTGAACTGTTCTCGTACGAGAGCGATGTAGATAGATATCAATCATATGACAGAAAATCTATATCCACTCGCAAATCTTTATAAATAAAAATAAACAAAAGATAAATATTTTTTGATTAAAGTCAACAATTTTTTTAATATATTAAGCGATTAGTAGAATAAAATATAAACATTGCTAAAATTTAATTAAATTTGTTTTTACAATAAATTTGGTGCTTAATTTTTGGAATTAATGTAATTAAATCGTATGTAAGTTTATTTTAATATTATAGGTAGTAGGTTTTATTCTTTGCGTCTTGTTCGTAATTTTAAAGCAGCATACGCAGATATCCTAAATATAATAATAAGCGCTATTAATCCCATATAATCGTATATAAAATCATTTATCGAAAAGTTTAGTGTTTCTAATATAACTTTTCCAGAACTGGGGCAAGTTGTATTCGATGAGGTACATGTAATTTCACCAGCTTCTACATCAGACCACTGATTAATTAGAAGCCCTTCATTTGCATAACGAAACCATGATAGATATGATAACCATTTGAAGTATATTGGCACTGAAGCAGAATTTAAAAAAAATCCACCAAAGAGAAGAAATGGGATAATTACTGGAGGTCCGATGGATAATGCCATTGATGTTGATGAACTGCCACAGGATATTAAATAGCCAAAACTAGTTGAAACATTTGCAACAAGAGTAACTAATGCTAGAGCATGTAGATAATGAAAGATACCAGCACGTAATCCTATCATTGGATAAGCAATAGATGTGAAAACAAATGGTACAGTTAAAAAAAGTGGTAGCTCAGCAATAGTTTTTCCAAGAAAATATGTACTACATCTGTAAAGGCGACTTCGCGCTTCCCGCATAAAAACTGGTAATTCTGATGTAAATACCTTAATTTAAGAAACTATTTAATGTTATACTATTATTAAATTTATCTTATCAATTACCGTGATAGTAGCAAAAACATTTTGAAATGTCATATTTGTTAAAAATAAAAAAATCGCTCCATTTATATTCATTACACCCACTTGTGTCAATTGCTGACCTAGAAATATCAGACCTATAAGAACAGCTACCATCTGTAATGCAGTAGATTATAAATGTTTTTGGAAATGTTAAATGATATTTTATATATGCTTACTGTTGTTTGTATAAGACGAACTTTAACCAATAGAGGCTCTTTTAGAACGGATATCCAGGAACGCCAAAGTATGGCTCTAAATTGCATAAAACAAGATGCCTTATATGTAAAATCATTTCCATTAATAATCGGTTGGCCATTTGATTCAGCAGCCATTTTTTTAAAGCTCTGCTCCATACCACGGGACACTCTATAGTAAAAAAAAATATTAAAACCAATAAGAAGTTTTCTTTAGTGTTCTTGATTATAATTTTTATAAATAAAGTACTATATTTTTAAAATATTTGCATTATATTTGATAATATTGGAAAACCTTGCATATAAATATTTTGGCGTTATGATTTTAAATTTACCTTCCTACTGCAAAGTTATCGCAAATTTTTACAATACGTTCACGTGATTCCTGTTCTTTTCCGGGTACAACTGCCAAAATTTGGACATAGAAATCTGCAGGATTATAGTTTGCAGGACACTGTGCGCCAATACTAAAAATTGCGAATATTAAGCTCTTTTCAAAATTGCATTTTTTTGGAGCATACTATGAAAAAAAATCAACTGCCTCTAAAGGAGTGCCCAGAAAGGCTACTCTTCCTTCAGCCATAAGCAATATTTTATCAAAAAGTTCGAACAACTCTGATGATGGTTGATGGATTGTCAATATAACAGTCTTTCCTTTTTCCGAAAGCTTTTTCAAAACCTGCACAACACTGTGTGCCATGAAAGAATCAAGACCTGAAGTGGGTTCATCACATATAAGCAGTGGAGGATCCGTTAGTGCTTCAGACGCGAATGCTAGGCGCTTACGTTCGCCACCCGACAATCCTTTCACACGACCAGGTACGCCAATAATAGTGTTTTGGCATTTACCTAATGAGAGATCTTGTATTACCTGATCGACACGCTCTACTTTCTGGCGGTATGTTAAAGTTCCAGGCATTCGTACCATAGCATGAAATATTAGGTGTTCTCTGGCTGTTAAAGACCCTATGAATAAATCATCCTGCTGCACATAAGCACAACGAGTTTGCATTTCTTTAGCATCTACCAAATGCCCATTTAGCATTCGCATGGCTGAAGTTGATATTTGAACACCTTGTGAAGAGCGAAAGGCCAACGAATTGAGCAACGTTGTTTTTCCAGCTCCAGAACTTCCCATTATTGCCAACAATTCACCAGGATAAGCAACCCCACTTACTTTAGATAAAAAATAAATATTATTAGACCTGAACATTTTATTTTTAATTTTACCATTCTTCAATAAGTGCTTTCTGGGCGCGGGTATGTGACGTTCTTTACATATGGATACTTTAATTCGATTTGCCATTTGTTTCCATGTTGATCCTGGCAAATGAATGGCTCCAAATACATCAAGGTTATACCAAGAGTAAGTTAAATTATCAGAAACGTTCGTATTAGGAACCACTGTTCCATAGCTTTTATTAAAGTCCTTATTAAGTGAGGATTGCTCAAAGGAGCCAGAATTCTGTTTGATATTAAAACAAAAAGGATTTATTCTTTTCTACTCGATTGCATAATTTAATATTTCATATTGAAAGTTAAAAATTCAAAGGCTTAAGATCTAAACTACTCGTTTCTTAAGGAAATTAACCGATTGGTGAGAAATTGTCATCTACAAGAGATTTTTCAGGGCCAATATACTTTGTGTAGCTATTATTGAAGTTCATTAAAAACGAGATTCCTCTTCCTATTAGATGTCATACTGTATAATAAATGATTCATAAAAACGTATTGTTTAAGATTAAGATACAGAATATATCTATGCTCAATTGGTGTTTTTGCTTTAAGATTGCTTGAAATTTTTGTGAATTATAGCTACCACTAACATCTAATTTACTATATTTATTAAAAAAACGATGGAAACACTATGAATGTATTTCTAGTTTATAAGGAAATGTATACAGAATTCTTAAATAAACTCAAATTACGAATAACATTATATTTTATGAAAAAGCTAAATACCGTATATATTAGTGAAATTTGAATATATGTGTGTGATTTCTTCTTATTTACTTTTTTCATTTAACGGATATTAAATTATTTTACTTTGTTAATTTTTTATTACAAAGAAGGGATTTAAAGGGACATTAGGACCGCCCACTTTTTGAAACGTTTTTATGGTTATTTTACATTATATTTCATCTATAAAAGTGGCTAAAGATAATTTTAAAATATTTTTTATTACATTTCTTGAATATTTGTTGTTTGATATTTACTCAATCAATGTTCTTTGGTTTTTATTTAAATTTGTTTTTCTTACTTAATCCAATGCAGTTAAATTTAAAAATTATATCTCTTTTCAGCAACAATCTTATTTGCTTAATATAGTCAATCAATATCTTTCAATATCAATATCTAAATTTCACGTTCCTAAATTCCAAACATAGCCAATTCGATGTGACTGAACGATCCATCAAAAGCATAAATGGTATTTCTGAATTATCTTTTATGTAGTAAATTAGTAGTTAGTAGTATTGAATTATATACATATATATATATATATACATTATTATGTATTAAGTAATATATACACATAAATGTAAGTTACCACTTACAATATTAAGACTTTCTGCAGATGTTTTCGATTTATCGCTTCGTATTAAAAGTTCTTGATCCTCTTGGCCCATATTTACTATTTTTAGATAAGTAAAATGTTCTTAAAAAGTCTGTGACAAAACACGTTATTTTTTAAAATTTCACACGTTCAGTTAGTTGTATTTAAAAAAATTAAATATATTTTTATAACATATGCTATAAAATAACTATTTTTGCTTGTATGAAGTAAGTATTTCAAGTACATTAAACCAATTTAAAACAAAACTTAAACCGCTCCGATATAGTATTTAACACATGCAAGTACAACAACTTACTAATTATATTTTCCAACTACCTTAATGCACCCACTCTTTTATCTTTATAGGCTTATATGAGTACACCATAATCAAGCAACGAGTGCTTTAATTTAGTTACACTCATCACTGTATATTATGAAGAATACATATGTATATGCAAATATTTGAATTTTGATTAAGCACAAATAAACTTTAAATTTAGTAAACCTTGTTAACAAAAAAATGTTTAATATCAGTATTATATATACAGTTTCCTTATTTATGCTTAGCTGCAAGCAATGGCCCCCATATCCAAATCTTTAATTTTCATTTTACAATTGTTAATTTTCCAGACATACTTGTAGTAAACAATTAATATTAATGCCCTTATGCTCTAGGCATTATTTCTATTTTCATTAGTAAATATAAAACTTGTTTGACTATCTTATACTTTAAATACCAAAAGTATTACATTTGTAAGAGAAGCATATCACAGAATATTTGCTCTTTATAATAAATAATTTTGAAATATTATGTATTAAAGTAAAGTACAAAGTATGAAAAACTTGTAAGGTTTCATTGAGTGAAATAATTATGAAGAAGGTGTACTGAGTAATTTTGCAAACTTGTTTTAAAAATTTGTATCGGAGATGTGCAATTACTGGACGTCTACACTGACTAGACTGGACTTTGGCAAAATTTTTATGCATGCAAAAACCTTGTCAAGTCTAGCCAGTACAGACATAGTGTAAATTACTTCTTTTTAGAACATTATTGTACGGCTTGAATATATATGATTGTATATTTACATATAAATATAAAACGTTACTTGTTCAAAATCCGAATCCGAATCCGAATCAATGCACTAAATCGCTTGATATCGCATCGCTGCTGATTCAAAACTATCATATAAGTAAAAAATCGCAGTTATATTTCGTTATAAATTCAAGATATTTAGTTTAAAAATCGATTAATGAATATGTTCGAGTATGCTGCATTTGGTCCGAACCAGGTCCGGTAAATACATGCGGCACTAGCGTGATTGCATATATGTTATATTATATAATGTACATTATATAAAACTCACCTGAATGAATAGCTTGAAATAGCTATGTTTTAGTTTTGCTTCCTATTATAACATTGACATTAGAAAAATTAGAGAAAAAAGTGAGAAGAGATACATTTCGAGTTTTCGGTTCCATAAATTGTCAGAACAGAATAAAGTAAATTCTGCACTATGTTAAAGTCTTATCACACTTAAAAGGAGAACATATTAGTTTAGGTTACGTTATATCGGCGTTCCCTAGTAGATCCACTTAGGACTATTTTCCCATTGTGTTACCGCATATATAGGAAAAACTCAGGGTTTAAAACTACCTAGAACCTATGGCGAAGCCTAAAATGCTGTTAAAAAGAGGGTTTCTAAAGTATCGTCGCCGTGCATGAGCTGGGCAAAAAAAAGTGAGAGGCACTCTCTTCGTTTTCCTCACAGTTGCGACAGACTTAATTGATAGTTTACAGTAACCTATAAATAAATCTTTCAAAAGACTGATATTTCTAAGGGATATCTCAATGAGAATTTTGGATTTCCTTTAATCGGAACGTGGCCAGATTGCATACAGATGCATGCGTATCGTTAAGTCTTCCCATCTTTTACTAAAAATTTCAGTACAGAAGGAACTCAGTAACATATTCATAAATCATGAAGCTTATAGTAAAATGTATGCATTCGAACATTCCTAAAACAGTTGATTTAAAAATTAAATGAATCTTAAATTAAATTAAATTAAATGAATATATGTTAATACAATATTTACGGTAGTCTCAGTAAATTCAATTGTCAAAATAATTAATAACTAAGCAACTCATACTTGGAAATTAATTGAAGGTTTAGGTACTGCTATCAAAGCATAGAACCATTATATATTATTAATTGACATCATACTTACTTACTTACTTAGTTGGCCATTACAGACGTGAGTTGTCCTTGGCCGCGTCGAGTAGCCTCCGTCAACCAGCCCAATCAGTTGCTTGCTCTCTCCAGTTGGTAGTACCGAAAGCCCACAAATTGTTAGTCACCTGGACTCGGAGCCAGCGATGCCTCTGAATTTTTATGCGCTTAACTGTGTCAATGTCGCGGTATAACTCATTAAGCTCATCATTCCATTTAATTCAATACTCGTCACCAACGCGTAACGGACCATAATTGACATCATTTTATATAATCTTAAAAATAATATTATTTTAGATTTTAGATAATGTAATGTAATGATGTGACGAAGACAATTTGCTTTTTAATAAATAAAGTTGAAATGAATAAAGTTTTTTGCAAAAATTATTAAAAATCTTCCTGAGGAAAACATATTGATTCGATGTAAGTAAACATATAAAACTAAAAACAGCAAAAGTATGTAATTTTTATTACTCGAGCATCCATTTCTAGGTGAGAAGAATGTTTTATGTGAATGTGTGTGTTGGAGTACCTACAGTGCTCTGCGCTTGGTGTTTGGTCGGACACAAAACCATAACGTGTTGCTCCTAAAAATTTTACAAGTCTTACGAACTTGTACGTTGACGTAACCTCGCATTGTTGTACAAGCGCCTCCTGTCTTGCATTTGGTGCTCAAATAGGCTTTCAAATGGTTTACAGTAATGTGGCTTGCGGTTTTTTATGCTTTTATATTGCGTAGTGTTCTTCCGGGAATATATATTTCTATTAACCGCTTGTAAAACAAGTTTATTCCTTTTTATTGCACAATAGTTTTATATTATAAGCATAGAACCCCATGAATTGTTGTGTTTATGAAGCTTTGCACATAGTGGCTCTGCGAGGTTTGTTCACTGGATTGATATAAGGCACCTCAAAATTTATAATTAAAATGAAGTGTATATAGCAGTGTTAATTTAGCTGATTTGGTTACAAAATATAAATAAATATATATTCTGAATCGCTTATAATTTTCAAATCTATCAATTACTCGTGGTACAGTGTTAAAATTATAATTTTTCATTTTATATAGGTTTGCTTGACACTCTATTTATTATTATTAAAGCTTTGACGTGAAATCGGCCAACAGTCGGTACTGCAGCCAGAAGAGTTCTATTGTACCAATTTCACTTATGATTACACAAAGTCCTTTAAAGCTTTGTGAACAAAGTTCATAACTAAATCTTGAGAAGAATCTGACACTCTAATATCTGTTTTAAAATGCAGTAATTAATAATTTGAATACAACTATATTTTTGTTTCGAAAAATTATTACAATATAATTTAATTTAATTTTTTAAATAAATAAATAAATAAAATAAAAATAAAATATAGATTTGTTGCAAATTTTAGAAAGTTTGTTCAATAAAAGTTGCTAGTGTCCCTTTTTTTGCAATTCTTCTACTAGACCTAAAACCGTTATTACTAGAAGTGATATAATGGATTTTTTAAAGGTAATCTTTTTTATTCCATGCAATTCTTCTGCTAGTCCTAAAATCGTTACTACTAGAAGTATTATAATGGATTATTTAAAGGTTATCTTTTTTTATTCCATGTTAGAGTGATAATGTCGAAGTATTTTAGAATAGATAAAAAAGTTATAGTAACAGAACTATAGTTTACTTTTATACAGTAAATAAATTATAATAATAGAAATTTAAATTACTCTTATACTGTCAAATAGGATACATATTCATAACTTAAAGTGTGACGTTTAAGCTACATCAAGCTACAAGAACTGTCTGATCTGATATTATTAAATAAAAATTTGTTTACTGTTGGATATAAACTAAAATATAGAACGAAAGTTTTATTTATGGTTTTCTGCTTGTTATAGTTTTTAAATATATGTTAAAAAGTATTTATATGTAATTAATATCATATAGGTATCGTTACAAAGTAAAACCTTATTGCAGCGAAAGAAACATTTTTCTAACCTAATATAATTTAGTTGAACAAATTCATATTTTTTTATAAATATATTTGACACTTTGATTGCACTGCTTTCAATGATAAGAATCAGCTGATGATTCACAGAATACCGGAGTAATTTAGTAATTTGGTAATTCGGTAACTTTGCAATTTCAAATAAACAAATACAGTGAAATTTCTCGTAACCGAACATTCACCGTCGCAGTGTTTTTGTTCGATTATGGAAGATGTCCGCTTATGAGAGGGAGCACAAAAAATTATGTTTAAATTGCACCTAAATGCTCATTTATTTCTTCATTAGATTCTTCTTCTGAACTTATGTCCATAATATCGCTTTGTTCTTCAAATTGAATTTCCACATTCTTGTCTTCAGTGCAGATATTTCTATTTACTTGGAGAAAACCGTTGAAATCATTTGTCAAATCGAGTCCTTCCTGAAATTTAGAGTAGATTGTGAGCGGAAGGTCATCTTCGGGATCCAAATCGGTAAATTCTTCGTTTCTGAACTCTTATTGTCTTATTGAACTGCTGCAGGCATTCGATCATTTCCATCGCAAAGACTCAAGCCGATGCATTTTTTGGATTCAAGAGCGAGGGTTTTGTCAGGTAATGTTGGAAAGGAAACCTCTCTTTCTGGGCTATTTTGGTCGAAGTAATTTATAAATTATATTTAATTAATTATTGGTAACTAAAATTAATCATTTTTTACACAAATGCAAAAAGAATTTGTATTATGGGAAATCGCAGGTTTTTTGATCGAAATATTTAAAATGTAGTGTCCGCGTCCTGCTATGAAAAAATAAATGAAAAAACTATATCCACGAAATTTGTCCGGCTATTTAAGCTGTCCAGTTAAAAGAACTGTCCGTTATGAGTAATTTCACTTATATAATTTCAATTATATAATACTTTATCCCTATGTTACTGAAAGCGTCTAAACACATTAATACATTTCTCTATGGAT